CCAGCGGATCTGAACTATCGTCTTTCCTGTCAATCTTTTGGGAATTGTTAACGCGGTCGCACAGCCGCAAGGGAGGGGAACTTTTATATTTGTGCCGCGTTAGCCACCTCGAACAGATTCTTGATCTCAGAGACCCAGCCGGACAACGTGGTGTGCTATCCCTGTCACCCACCAGGCTTGAACGAGTGACTTTGTCTAGGTTCCTGGGCACGAGGATATTCGGGGCAACGAACTAGCCATTGCTAAGGTGAATACCCCATACGCCCGCTCCCTGGACCCAATCAATGCAAAGGCGCCTACTTCGAGACCAGCCCGGCAGTTGTTTCCCGTGAGGTAAGGAAAACGGAGCAGCAGGGTTGGCGTATATGGGTCCAAGGAAGCACCCACTTACACAAACTCACCAGAATTTACCTGGAAATTCCGACTAGGGCACCGAGGGGCTCCAGATCTGCCAGCAATGGTGACTGCGACGACTGGGACTAGAAGTATAATCATTCCCACTTGGCCAAGTACGTAGAGCACCTCGAGGGCCGGCTCCGTCCTCTCGGGTTGTTTGATGACTCTACACCCTGGCAGTGGAGGAAGTGGTCGGCGCGACCTCTCTACTTAGGACAGCGTATACCGTCACATGCCGGGGATCCCGGTGGTAGTGGGATCCTTGTAGGCAATACGTTTGACTCCACGATACCAGTCGAACGGGGCTGCCTCATCCGGCCCTTGGCTCGTGATATTTATTTTAGCGATTCGAGACGCAACATTTTTCCCACCGAATAGTAGAGGCCCGGCCTTCTGCAATGCCATATGGGGTCTACCCTCAATGCTGGGATGAGCCGTAACAATTGTTTCGTGAATTTTTGCAGAATTCCATGCATTTTCATGAACAAGACTTTGACAGCCCCTCCATGAGGGTTGCCCACGAAAACCCTTTGGGCTAATATGTTGCTACCAGGACCTCAAAATTCTGAGTAACCTGTGCACCTTGTATACTTCTATGCCGCTGTTCGCACTTTCCTACTAGCCTATTCCTCTCGAGACATGTTACTATACGAGTTTCCATAAAATATATGCTCTCAATATATCAGGATGAAATAGAGGGCCAACCTGCATGAATCCGGCTTTTGCAGCAATGACTAGGATGGGATGATAATAGGAGAGTAGGTTCCGGGGCCTTTAGTTACAGACCATGTAAAACAAGCCCAATACGGAATAGAGATGACTACACAAGAACTATAACTTGGGAATACCCATTTTCCATCCCCTATGAGAAATATATTATTCCAATAAGTGTACTTGTCGCCAAGGCGTTTAATTTCTTCCAGAAAAACCATTCCCCTACCCCACCTCTTAAGCTCTAGTTGAAAGTGAATTTATTTTTTAATTTTGACGCAAGCCCCCCCCGGCAGGTCCCCCACCAGTATGAAATGTCATAAAAACTCAAATTCACATTCACATTTTTTGGGGATATGAATCGCACTGTTCGAATTCTATCATCGGACTGCCGAAAGTTGAGTCCCTGCCATCGCAAGAGATGTAGTGGGCTCTGCGCTACGTCTTCACTTCTCAAATAATTTGTTAGGATTTACGATAACGAGCGCATCTCTAACTAAGCGCATCTCCCCAGCCCCGGTAACTAACAATATAATTGGTCCGTAAGCGCAATTACAGGAACGGCGAGCAATTTTCAATACTTCCTCAGTCCGTGCGGCGAGCAAAAGAAAAACCCGAATTCTTAGCCTTCGTTATCGAGAGAGGTGAAGCTGTGTTTTTTTTTCTATAATATTTATGATACTACAAGTACAATAATCAACCAGGTTGAGAGATGTTAGTGGGTTCAAGCGGGATCGCCCGTTGGTATTACAAACTGGTGTAAGATGGCCCTGAGGTTGGGATACGAGGTGGTGGGGTTCACAAAATCATGCGGCACGTGGGATGTCCGGAAGTGTGTCGTCAATGGTGTGACCGAGAGTCCTGGGGAATCGAAGAAGGCAAACTGGGAACTGTGCACTGACAATACCTGCGTTCAACCGGGAAATAGTTGGGGGCATTTGAGCAAGTGCAGAAATCCGGTAGAGTTTACTAAACTCTCTAGAGATTCGCAGAGTGGATATATAGAGCGTCATCTAAACCAAGGGATGGATGTTTTGTCGGTATAATGGCAACACAAACTCCAGCCTCTGGATAAAGCACTCCGCCAATCTGAGAATTTCTATGCCTAGGCGTACTGGATCTCACAACAGCCCAGTTCCCCTTTCAACTTAATATGCTTTCTATCACCACCCGGACTGCCGGCGATATACAGTATATACGAACAATAATCACCCCCACCTGGCACTATCGTACCATTCCGAGATTTCTATATTCCTGGTTGGCATTCGCCGTTTAACGTTGATTCCTTATGTCCTTGTTCCTCAACCAAGACTCCCTCGAGGCCCTAGAAAATCTTCATTTTAGTACGGAGACGAACTACGCAAGTCGTTTGGCTCACTAACAACCTATTCCTCCTCGCCCAACTAACTTACCCATCTAGGGCCATTACTACGAGTACTTTTCTCATTACGTTATCAGCTTTCCAATATATTCCAAAGTACTAATAGAGAGGCGTTGCCCGCCTGGGGTATTGGAGAATAACTCGCAATGCGGCTGATAGGGTTTCCAGGTTGAGGATATTGCCTCTAGTCTTTATATAGGCACACCAGGAGCCCATTAGTTTCACAGGAACCCTCCCCCCACAGTATAATACCTTTCCGTAACAGGGTTTGGGCGTAGCAGCTGCGGAGGTCGGCTGGACGAGATGGCCGAGAATAGTATCGCATAAAAGAATGTAGAAATATATCCTGGATGAGAAGAGCCCACGACGGAGGCGGGAGAAGAAAGTAAGGAGCGACGACAATACAGATGAGTGGAGAATGAGGACAAGCGAACCGATTTGATCAGAAAACTAAGCAGCGAAAGACATGTCGCATTTCCTCTCCACCGAACAGAGCAGTCGGACTCCCGGACTACTTTTAATCCGTCCCCCATACCCATCATTCAACACCCCACTACCGAGGGGTTAGCGGTTCGCCCAAATCACTGCCACGTATATCGACTGGTATCAGGATATTTATTCGATAGCTAACTACCACGCTAGCTACAGGACTCCACCGTTTGTATCAGGCATACGCGCCCTAACGGCATTACGTCCAAGAGGTAAGCCAACTCCACCCCGCCTCGTCCGTATACCCTATGGTATGGGCCCAACCGCACAAGTCGTAGCAAAGCCGAGACTCATGACCAGCTCACGGGCACTCCCCGGCAAACCCTCCCGAACGCCGCAGCGGACACCGAAAAACCCAAACTAAAGAAAGACGAGTCAGGGTATCGAGCCGATAGGGAAGGTGTTGGTAGCAACATGACCAAGGATAAGTCCGCTGTCACGGTAGTTAAAATTTGCTGGATAGAAAGCGTCAGGACGAGGATGGTATGAGGACGGCCAGGGTGTAAAGCGCGAGGGGCCAACCGGGTACCGGTACATCCCTGCAATGGACCGAGGTTGGGTGCTAGCGTAGAATTCTGGAAAGGGGCTAAGGCGGGTGATATCCTTGTACCGCATATCTGGCGAAAATGGTCGAGCGCTAGTAGAGTATCGGAGGTTCAAATAAGGTTTTTATCCTTCGCTTGCCTCGGAATCGCAATAGTGCGCCACAGCCGCATCCCCACACCTTCTTGCTAGGGCGAAACCACGTGACTTTGATTTTGCCACAATTGTCAGTTTCCTTAGGCGCTTCTTATTTCGGTAAAAGGGTCGGTTGGTTCTGGCAAGATAACGCGGTAGCGAAGTCAGAGGTCGGTGGTGTTTAGTATTCACGGCTCCTTCCCAGGAGAAAATGGACGCGATGCTATCGCAAGGTATTATCTTACCCGGACACAGATGGAGAGAATGGTAAGCAGCAGGGCTTGTGGCATGGGTGGTTTATGCTGACTAAGCAAAACGCGAAAGAAAAAAAAAAAGAAAGAAAGAAAGAAAGAAAGAAAAAGAAAAAACTTTGTTGTTTACATAGTCATGGGGGTATCGCCATGAGTTTCTTTCCCCAGCTGACGAGCGGACAAGAGGTGAAGAGCCCGAAGAACGGTTCCCGTCCAACAATCAGCTTCTTGTGGCGCGCCAAGGTACCTTTCACACCTCAGCATGCTTTCCCGGAAGCCAACCGCGCGGGAGCAAAGTTGTGGACGCTAGTTTCCCCGGCCAGCGTTCGCAAGTGGCTATGCCATCCGCTAATACCGGTAGCCCGACGGCAGGTGTATTTGTACTCGTACGGTCGTGAATGCGCGACGGCCCGAGCAGAACCCGGCATATGCGGTGCGGTCAGAAATGACCCCGCCGATAGGAAGCAAATATTATACCTTCAAGGACGGCACCAACCGGTATCCGAAAATATTACCAAGTATCTGCTAATACGATACGATACCTGGAGCTAGCTTGGTAGTTGTAGGCCCAAGACATGACGAGGATAGAAAACATTCCGACAAGTTCAGAACGCTGGGAGCGTGCGGATGCCCAATTTCATAATACGCGACATGTTCCTCGGTTTATGGTGGGTGGGTCGCTAAATTATTATAATATTATGATTACAAAGCCGCTCCCCGACCACTTCGGCATCACCCCAAACCTGGAATTCCCCACAAACTTCCTCCTCGATCCCCCCCCCCGGCCGCGTGGTTCACCAAGCACGTTTCATATCATACCAATAATTCCGAATTGCAGACAATTTCTTTCTTTTTTCGCGCTGATGATCCGGTTAAGCGCAAATATTCGGGCGAGCATTTGAGATTACGCTTCGGATCTACGTTCATATCTACACCCGGGCGCTGTTAAACCCCAACTCGCAGAAAGAATTATAGCGGAGGCAAGGTATCACAAATTGTGGGCACCCAGGTTTAGAAACAGATTAGACATCCGACCGTCTTCCGTTTAACCTATGTCAATCTATACCGGTATTCATGTTCTAAATACATGTATGGGACCGGGGCAATCACGGCCGGCCGCTCGGAATCTAGGAAATATTTGCAGTCCAGTCTAGCCGGCTTCTGAAAGAGCCCGGGTTGCCCAAGTCTAGCCCAAAGCCCGGCCGGTTTCAAACACGCTGTATGGCAGGATGGTTTGAGCATACAGCTTTCTCAATGCCCCCGGGCATACGAGAGGGGGTGGTTTTTCCCCCTCCCGGTATTCATCACAATCTTCTCCCACAACAACACGGACAGTTACTCTAACGCATGAGACTCTATTTGGTATTATTACACAAGATCTAAGCGGTACGGAATAGCAACTTCTAATCGCGAGGTGCCGCTCGGCATGCTCTCATGATGGTTTGTTTGTTCGCATAAGTCTCCGGGAGCGCGCTTTGGTTTCGGGTGCGCTATAGCTACGGGCGCACTTTGGCCCGTGCCCGCACAGTTTGGCCGTTCGGGAAAGCACTTCGATCGCGGGAACGTGCGGGAGTCTTGGAGCAGTGTATCTGCCGGGAGGAGAGCGGAAAAGCTGGAAGGGAAGCGGAAATGCCACAAGGAGGGCCGGAGGCGATGGGTAGTCGAAGTTTGTCTTTTCTTTGTTAGCTTTTCTTGTTTGCTAGTGTGTGCGAGACGTACCTGGGGGCTAGGACTTTGTCATTTATGTCTTTGATATAAACTCCTGTCTTTACCGTTAGTTAGTTAGTGAGAGCGCGCGATAGTGCGAGCCCGAGGTTGACGAAGAAGAGTTTTCTCCCCCCCCCTGTTAGTTTTGCGATCCTTTCACGTGAGTGATCTTGGCGTTTCGTTTCGCAGCCCGTCACTCTTCGTTTAGTTTCGTTACGCAGTTGCCTCATACCGCCGTTCGCATCACGCTTCGTTCGTTAGTTTGTTCGCTTTCGATCTCGCAATAACCTCCGCCGATTCAGACGTTAAAAAACTTCGAAAGATAGTTCCAGGATATGCATAGGATGGTGGAAAAGAGTGAGTGGGTTTTTTTCGAATAATGCCGGCGGTGAAAGCAGTAGAAAGGGTGACCGGCAATAATATGACCGATTGTGATAATCAAGGGAAAAAAAAACATGGGCCAGATATAGGACCTGTAAAGACGATACCATAAGGCCTAGATATTCTGAGAACGATGCTCATTTTAATTCCTATCAGACTAGGAGGGAAAACCTTTCACCGCACTTTGGTCAGGTCAAAAACTCCGAATTTCCCACAGCTTGAGAGTTCGCTACTACGAAACGGAATAGTACCCTTCATGCCTGACCAATGTTTCGAGCCACGGTAGCCGAGGCATGCCATGCAGTACTAGATATTTCCGGCAGGTGTAACGGAAGCATGGTCAGGTTGTAAATAGTGGTTAGGTTGCTGGCGCAGTCCTCCGTGTTCACAACACGGAAGTTGGTCAATATCGAGCGCAGAAATCGGACAGATTGTGCTTGATATCATAGTTTGTCTGGCCGGGGGGGGGGATTTGGCCCGGGGCCCCCGGCAGAAGTGCGGAGGTGACAACAAGGGTACTATCAGGATAGATACCCTCTAGTGTTGGACAATGGGGCTGCATAGCGCGCCCCGGATATGATAAGTCGCCGGGACGTCTGCCGGCAGGTAGGGTATGGGTTGCCTGTAAGTAACTCGGATTGTGCCTTCGGGTGGATCACCTTAAAGGAGGACAGGCGAGTGACATCCTCTGTTTTTTTGATGGATAACGTATTCTTAAAGAGTGAGAGGCCACACGAAATAATTCGCTATGAAAACCGGACAAATGCATTGATAAAGGAGACCAGAAATAATAGGAAATAAAATGCAAAATAAAGGTAAAAAGCCCAACACATCCCCCCCATAAACAAATATGCTTTCCGCATCTAAACAACACTCCAACAGTCCAGCACCACCATGCGCCCGCCATTCTTATTAATTTGACAGATCCCCCAACTTTTCTGGGTAGACTCCAAGAGGCTCCCACGCCGGTGGAGGCTGTCAACCCACTCCTATCACCTCTGGTGCATCTAGCTGCCTGAGATATAATGATCCACTTGTCAACTTATAGTACATACCGAAGGCCGAAATCGTCCGAAAATAATGGACAAAACGGCCCGCAAGGTGTATCTATGCCTGCCCCGGGACTTCCGCGATCTCTCCCGAGCACACCGCCTCATAGACTCTGATTCTTCATATTTTCCTTGGCATTCGAGAACCGTGGCTAGGTTGTTGACACTGGATAGGGCGTCTGGGTGGTCTGGTCCGAGAACCCTGTCACGCGCCTCCAGTGCCTGCCGATGCATCGCCTCCGATTCCTCGTACCTTCCTTGGTATCGTAGCACAACAGCCAGGTTGTTGACGCTAGTAAGGGTCTGTGGGTGGTCTGGCCCAAGTACTTCCCTGCGCCCCGCTAGTGTAGTGCGATTAATCTCCTCCGATTCATGGTACTCCCCACGGTAATCCAACACAACAGCCAGGTTGTTAGCACTTGTTAGGGTGTCTGGGTGGTTTTGCCCAAAGACTTTCACGAGACCCTCGTGCGCACGCCGATTCAGCTTCTCCGATTCATCGTAATTTTCTCGGTAGCGTAGTACAAGGGCCAGGTTGTTCAGAATTGCTAGGGTTTGAGGGTGGCCTGTTCCGAAAACCCTCTCGTATCTCTCCAGTGCACACCGATTCATTGTCTCTGATTCGTCGTACTTTCCTTGACATTCCAGCACAATAGCCAGGTTCTGGAGGCTTGATAAGGTGTCCGGGTGGTCCCGTCCAAGAATCTTCTCACGCCCCTCCAGTGCCCGCCGATACGCTGCCTCTGATTCGCCGTACTTTCCCTGGTGTTGCAGTAGGATGGCCAGGCTGTCGATACTTATTAGGGTGTCCGGGTGGCCAGGTCCAAGAATCTTCTCGCACCCCTCCAGTGCACGCAGTGTCATCTCCTCTGATTCGTTGTATCTTTTTTGGAGTCTCAACAGGATAGCCAGGTTGTTGACACTCGTCAGAGTGTCTGGGTGGTCCAGTCCCAGAACCTCCCCTCGGGCCTCCATCGCGCGCCGATTCATTTCCTCCGATTCACCGTACATCCCTTGTCGTTGCAGTATAGTTGCCAGGTTGTCGATACTTGTTAGGGTATCTGGGTGTCCTGGTCCAAGAGTCTCCTCGCGCCCGTTGAGTGCGCGCCGAATCATATCCTCGGATTCTTTATAGTTTCCCTGGCATTGCAGAACGGTGGACAGGTTGTTCATACTACTTAGGGTGTCTGGGTGGGCTGGCCCAAGGACATTCACGAGACCCTTTAGTGCACGCTGATGCATTTCCTCAGATTCATCGTACTTTCCTTGGTATTCCAGCACAATAGCCAGGTTGTTGAAACTTGTTAGGGTATGTGGGTGGTCCGGTCCAAGAATCGCCTCACGCCCCTCCAGTGCACGCCGGTTGAGCATCTCCGATTCACCGTACCTTCCTTGGCGTTGAAGTACCAGAGCTAGGTTGTTGGCGCAGGTTAAGACATCCGGGTGGTGTTTTCCAAGATCGCTTTCAGACAACTCTAGGGAATGTCGGCTCATCTTCTCTGATTCATCGTACTTTCCTTGGTGCTGCAGCACGAGGGCCAGGCGGCTGACACTTGTTAGAGTTTTTCGGTGTTCTGGCCCAAGACGTTCCCTGAGCCCCTCCAGTGCCCGCCGAAGCATTGCCTCTGATTCATTGTACTTTCCGAGATCACTCATCACACATGCCAGGTAGGACGAGCATTCCAGGCTCTCAAGACTACTTGGACCGAATAGCCTCTTAATATCCTTCAGCACGTTCTGAAGTTCCAACTTTGCCTCACCAGTCTTTCCTTGGCTAGCTAGTACCCTTCCGAGGAGCATAAATCTCGTATGTCCCATATCCCAGTCGTGCTCTTTATTCTCCTTCCGAATTCTGATGGATTGACGGACTTGTCCTTCTGCGTTACAGTAGGAGCCCAAATGCAGAAACCACTCTCCCAGATGAAAACAAAGCTCCTCCGCAATAGCATCCGTTCTACCTTTGGTTACCGCAAGAGCATGCGGAATGTATGACTGGCAAATATCCCGCTGATCGTGATCATATTTAGGGAACACGCGCGAAATCACTCCTAGTGCAGCGGCACTCCATTTACCCAACTCTTCCGGTGATAGATAGGTCTGTATAGATTGTTGGATTAAGCGATGGAGCTCATAGAACGTCTTGTCTTCCCGTTGGACAGTGGTAACCAGCGAGAATCGAGACAGTTTTCCAATAGCCTGAAAAAATTCAACCGAACACTCCATCCCTTCCACGCCGGAATCCTTTAGTAGCTGCTCCGGTATATTTTGACGATCGAAAAATGCGATCAGCCGCAAGAGACGCCCCGCTGCGGGCAGCTGCTTCGTAATTTGGTCAAAGGTGATGAAGTACGTGCCCAAGATACTTTCCGTCATATCCGCCTCCCGATGGATGTCTCTGAACTGCTGTGAAAGTAGCTCCCTCATTCGCTTATCGTTCTGTTGGAAAGTGGCCCAGTAGCTGGAGGGCAGTGTTCTGTTCTCAACCATGAAAGCTGCTGTACCCACGACAGCCAGTGGCAAGTAATCCACAGAGCCTAGGATCCTCGCAACAGCTTTTTTTTCCTTGTCCCTCAAAGTTCTCCGGCTGCCGAAATGTTCCGAAAACAGGGCTTGGGCCTCCTTCTTCTTCATTTTTCCGACATTGATCATTTTGCACCCCTGCCGGTGTGCAACCTGGAGAGATCTTGTGGTGAAGATCAGAGTACCTCGGGTGCCTTGAGGTACAAACTTAGCAATCGGACTGTTGTTGGCAGCAAAGTCCTCCTCGTTGTCGGCGTTGTCAATAACCAGGATCCAATCGCCGCTGTTAGGACCTTCAAACCACCTCTTTATACTGAACAGAAATCCTTCCTCGTCTGTGTCGGCACTGGCTACAGGAACTCGAACATGTTGTGCAATATCCCGGAATCCCTCGCTAAATTTTAGGAACCCACTTCCCTGCACCCAGAAAACATGACAACCACTCTCGCTCCAGCGTTGGTAAACATATTCGAGGGCAATCTGGGTTTTTCTAAGCAATATTAGTGAAGCTTTTATATAGCAAATTAATATATACATACCCAGAACCGCCCAATCCAAGAAGTGCAATCCGATTGTGACCATTATGGCGAGCAGCCTTCCTTACCAAACCAATAAGTTTTTTGCGGCCAGTGAACTTGCCGTTCCTGCAATAGGGAATTACCCTATGAGGTTGAGCCCCTTCTTCTAGTCGTGATAGCATGTGAGTTCTTGGCCCGAAAGCTCTCGGGAAAGCTGATGATACCTTGGATTCCGACCCTAGGTTCGCCCCCTTGATCTGGTTCCCCGTGATAGGTAACATTGATTTGGGGACCTATGTTTTTGTTGTTGTTGTTACTGCCAAAAACATTACCATTCCCTGAATTCCCGCTGTAGTTTCCGCTGTTATTGGACTGGGAGTTTCTAGTGTGACTATAAGGAGAGTGCTGGTCAGTATCGGAATATGGACATTCAAGGGAATGGGAGCCCACCGAGCCATCAAGTATTCAGTTCGCCGCAGGGAGGATTCCGGAGGTCGGGTATGAGGGTAACGAGATGTCGCTAGCGCAACCGGAACGGGAAAGGTAGGCTATTTGTTACCAACGGGGGGTAATTCAAAATCGTTTCGCAAGCCCTGAAAGAAGTCAGTAAACCACGAGATGCCGTAGGCTCGGAATAATTACTCTAGGACCCTACCCAGGATACTGGAGCGAATAATTTCGTAGTCGGAGGCAGCTAGGGGTGAAATGCTAGCCAGGGCAATTCGAATTCCGCGTGAGAAATGGGTGCAGGTATGAGGGGGGTCGCGTCTTGGTTCTGGAAGCAGGGTTGAAATGTACTCTTCGGAAATCAGGAGTCTTGTCACAGCGGCGAGGCTGAAGAAAGACCTAAGAAAAGCAAACAGGGCGGGATATAACCCCCCCATCGCTGGCTCAAAATCGGGGAGAAGTGACTGATCGGATTCTAGTGGCACCCGAGATGATACTTGTCTCACAGCCCATAATTTGTACTCGTACATGTAGAGTACTAGTATCACAAGCCAGAATTGGTACATGGCTTAGTAAGTTATACTATTTCGTACTCGTACTCGAGTACATGCGACGACAACAGCCCCCGACTGCGGCCGTTCTCCCGCATCCTAAAATAACCGCATATTCGGAATAACGGCGCCTATACTAGTGCTCTTGGCTAGAGCCGCTGAGGGCTCAAAAATGAACCTAACGGATGATGCCGATAAGCTACTGTTCATGGATAGACCTGCTGGCCCAATCTTCAGAAGAGGCTGAGGCCCCTTACTCGTTTCTTTTCCCATAATAATAGAGTGTTACCCAATCTTCAACGAGAGAAGTTCACAGGACCTTGCCTCGATCAAAGTTGGCGCACAAAACAGGGAAAAGAGAAACATTTCTCTTGCAATGCACCAATAATAGTACCGCGATGTTTCTGAAAACTGCCGGACTTGCGTTGGCGCGCTTACGGACTGCGGGGGAATTGTGAGAGCTTCTGATTAAGGTAGCCCAGGCACCCGTACCACCAAATGCCCTCCTCGGGTGAAGGTGGAAAAATGGCAAAGCGAGTTGCATGTACCGGTAACTCACTTGAGTAGTCGTTACCGATCCCCACTAAGATTATGCAGGGGTGCGGGAGCGCCCGTAATCAACGCCATAAAAGCTGTGTAACGAGCAGCTACTGCAAGTCTTTCCGCCTTGTTGAATCTTTTAAAAACCTAGACTCGGTGGCAAAAATCCGGGGCTTGGCCGCAAAAATGAGACATACCGGCGGGGAACTATTTTTCAGGGTAGCCTGTGTTTGAGAAAGCTCCCCAGATTGTATGAGAAGACGTGCTACTGGAATAATTGAACCTCATGGCGGAAGGTTGCGGGTACTGTGCAGTACCCTCAAAACTCTTCAAACTCGCCATGCAGCCAGAGCCGATGTGCACGCGGTACCACGGTTAAGGCTTGGAATTTTTTTTTTTTTCCACTATGCTGCCTAACCCCCGTGTAGTACAGACGAGTTAAAGCACCCGTACGAAGTGAAAACTGCTTCCTAGCATGAGGCTCATTGATCATCGTGCTCCAATTGGCCACATACCCGTGCTTGTGCGCCGTGGCTGCCTTGTGGGTTTGGTAGGTTTACTGGAGTACCACCGTGGTACTGTACTCGTATATGGTAGGAGGGTGTATTATTATTATTATTCTTTGCTTTTTGCTTAAATTAAGGCGAAGGAGAAGGGGGCAGCTTTCACAAACCAGTTTCCCTACAAGTCTAGGCCCCCCTACGGTAAAATCTCTCAAAATCTGTTTCTCCTCTCAGCCTCCCGGAGGGATTACCATCTTCCTAATAGTACTTGCCCATTCCAAAAGTATCCGGATGTCTTGGCACCCCCTACAACTTTGGTAAACAAATTCTTTAAGCAGTATGTCTCACGTATAAGTGGCTTGCACAACTGAAAGTTTATAGGGTTCCCAAACAAGTCCAAGGTGGTTTTGTCTGTATACTTCAATAGAGGATAGGCTGGAGGTTTTTGAATTAAAGGATCCTTTAAAAGTAAAAATCCCCGGGTGAGCTATAGGGGGTTAAAGTGCCTTACACCCACAGATTAAGGGTTCTGGTTTAAGGTTTCTCATAACAACCGAAACTGCGCCAAGATATCCGGATACTTTTGGAATGCGCAAGTATAAGATCATCCCACTAAGCCTATTGGATCTCGCTAACATGTATTCTCAATTCTGTTAACCCGCTAAATTAAATCCGGGGTCGGATGACGGTCCACGGGACATGCCGGTATCCTGGATCTCATGAGATTTTACTCTATCCAAGAGATTGCTTTGGACGACAGATCGTGGGGGCCAGTCACCTGAGCGGAGGGGGCAAGGCCAAGGTCTAGGGAGCATAGCCTGCGAGTTTGTTGGCCAATTGTGCTTGTACGAAAGTTGCTACATTTCGGAACCTTCCGAAAAATGAACAGATCGGTAGGTGGTTAATTGGTCAGCTGGCCTGCCATCATCATGATTTCGAGTCGGGTTTTTTATGATCTGAAACTGTGATTTTAAACCCTATTCATGGCATCAGGACCGCCTCAAACCGTGACTTTGAGACCGTGCCGGGATAGCCTGTGACATTTCCATTTCAATTAGGCATAGTATACCGCTACCGGCATCGGCATGGGAGATCGGTCCCCCGGAGACCTCACCCAAGAACCGAGCTGGGATCGATCGAAGAGAACGGCATAATTCCCCCCCCCCCCAAAAAAAAAAAAACAAATCAGAGGGAACTGAGCGACGCTGACCACACAAGACAAGATAGAAAAGTAGCAAGGTCGTCGGCGATTTTTTAAAAAATGACGTGAGAGAGAAAGAAAGGGGGCGACGCGACGAACAGGAGGGTCCGATCTTTCCCACAACGCGAGGTGCCAGTAAAAGCTAAGCCCCCCGCGGGTTTTGATCTCTAAGCCGGGAGAAAACAAGACGTCGGAAGTCGGGCATTTCGCATGATCGTGCAACATCAGATGAATAGGCAGGAAGTACTCTTTATTCCCCGTCTACGACCAGAATTGTCAGTGGTTACTCGGTGCTCCAGACGAGCATTCTCCTGCAGCATCCTTCCGACTACCGGTCCAGAATCCGATCGGGGGTAGCTCTGCCTGCCAGGTGGGCCAAGTGAAACAAGGATAGTAAGTTGTAGGGTTCATATTTCTTAAGCAGGACGATACCCCCCCTTTACTCCACCAATCAAGTTGGGTTGCTACATGTCCGCAACCCTGTTAACCACAGAATTCTAGTACTCGAGTACAGTACCGTATTGATCCTTTAAATCCACCATCGCCCATGCGTCTCGTATCTCGCCAACCAGAGACAAAAGGCCCCGAGAAGGAATAGCGCTGTCCAGACAGAATAGTTAGGGAGGCCTGAGCTCATAGATCTCAGTAACTGGTATTCGTAATTTTGTTGACCTGCTCTACTAAGCCTATTTTGGTTTGGACCATAATTTCCTTTGAGATCTCCGGTGGTGGGTTTAAAGGATTAATACTGTAGTTATCCAGATTTCGTGGTCCCCGCCTGCGCGGCGGAGTATGAAGGGATCTGAGGAGGCCAAGACATTAGAATTTGAGGTGGTGAAGTTCGCCGGATCGTGGGGCGCATGGGATGTCCGGAAGGCGCCGATAGTGGTGTGATTGGGAGTCCTTGGGGAGTGGTGAAGGGAAAAGAGGAATTATGTGTTTATCGTATCTTTGTTCAAACGGCCAATACCCTAGGTGAATAAGGCAAGTGCAGGAATCCGTCAAAGTCAACTAAACTGGAGATAAATCTGCAGAGTGGATGTAAAGTGCACTAGCCGAACCCAGCAGATAGATGTTTTGTTTATAAAATTGCATTTGAGCATTTTTATTCCCATAGGCATTGAGTTCTCCAACTGCCCGGTTCCCTCTTTATTTTAATCGGCTCCCTGTCCCTGTCCAGGCTGGCTAACGAGTTCCATATAAGAACACTCACCCCCCCTGTCACCATTGTATCATTGTCTCACTTCCTCTTTCCTGCCTGGAATTTGCTACTCATATAACTTCAATTCCAGACGCCATCGTTCTTCTAGGGAGAGTTTCCTGGGTCCCCCAGACCTGTGTTTCTGTAGGAGGCAAACTTGCCAAATCGTTTGGCTCAGCAACAATTTCCTCCTCCTTTAGAGCGGCAGGGCCTCTCGTACCGCGCCCAGCTTTCTAATGCGTACCGGGGCGGTTGGGTGTTGACGCTCGGGGGTTTTAGAGAATACCTCGCAAACCCGCCAGTGGCGTTTTAAGATAAGTCTATTATCGCCGCTTCTTAAATAGGGTGACGGATTTCTGGGGGGTTCGAAGGCTTTAGAATACCCCCCACAGTACTTTTCAACACGGTTTGTGCACAGAAATTCGGCATGTTTACTGGACGATCTGGCCAGAAATAGTATTGTTTACAGGAGTGCAAAAAGATATATGGCATAGGAATCTCGGAAGGGGACAGAAATAAAGAAATGAAGGAGAGACGATAATAGTGGTGAGTGGAGAATGGAGGTAGGGGAACTAGTTTACATTGAAAATTAAACTAAGAAAAACAAGTCCCTTTTGTTCTTCACCGAGCATAGCGGTCGGCCCTCGGGATTACTAGTACATAAGATCCGTCCCCCATATCGTGCCTTGCAATACTCCCATTGCCGAGGGACAGCCATTCACCCAGATAACCGCCACGGATGTGGTGGAGGATCAAACCGAAGGGGGAGGTGTTAGTGTGATATAGTATAGTTCTTGGACATAAGTCGTTGCCGCTCTGGATATGCACCAGAAAAGCACACCAAAATCAGTGGAATCCTACCCTGCCAGAACCACAGCGCCCAGAGGACCCCACACCAATTATGAGAGGACGAAAATGCAGCTGTGGGTACCCGGGAACTTGGCGATTCAGCACATGCCTCTTTGACTTCGATTAATTGTCAACTAATCAACGCTCGCAAAAGCGAGAGAAGCTAAAGGTGTCAGAAGGTTGTGCCAAGCTTCGCGACCCAGGCGGACCCTACCAGTAGTCCGAAGATGGTGGTTATTTCGGGAATTCCAATTTTCACAGCCCAGCCAACAGCGCCAAGCGCGTCTGATTCTGCTGAAAAATTGGGGCACTGAGGGGCTGCCTGATACGCCGGGCTGGTACAGGATTAGTTGAGGCGAGCATGGCGTTGCCGCGTTGTTACGAAAACGCGTGCTTTTCGTGAAAAAAGGGCAAGTGGTGATGCCTTTGCGAGGGTATTTTAGCAAAATAACCGATGATAAAACTATTGTCACTCCTGTTAAGAATTGCAGAATAAAAGGACTTGCGCCAAGGATATCACTAGAGTACGGCCAACGGGAAATCACAGCCGGGTCTGCCTGGTACGTGGCTGCCATGGACCGGGGTTGAGGTTAGCGTACTCGTAGGATGTTTGCGACTAATACACGGCCTAGTAGGAGGTAACCCGAATTATCTGGCGAGAAATGTTAGGCACCAATACGTTCAAGGGGGGATTTTGACCTTCATTTGTCTCGAAATCACAATAAAACGCCATATCCGAACTCCATATAGCCATGACTAGCTCTTCCGGGGCTATGATTTTGACGCGGTTGTAAGTTTCATCTCAGCCGCTTCTCATTTCGACGCAAGAGTACCCAGCCGCTCCTCGCCAGATTATGCGCTAGGGAGGTCAGAGGTCGGTGGTGTTTAGTACTCGAGTAGTTGCGGCTTGAGGGGAGGGGAAAAAGGGCGCGATGCTATTTCCAGGTGGCTTACCCGGACATATCATAGATGGGTGCGGGCTGGAGCGGTGAGTAGGAGCGCTACTGATGTGGGTTGATAGGTGGTTAATGCTGACTAAGCAAAACGCGAAGAACTTCGGCGCAGTTTTATCATACACGGTCATCATGGTGCCGCTATGAGTTTCTTTTGACTCGAGTCGATGAGCGGATATGAGGAGAACAGCCGAAAGAAAGGTTCCCATCCAATAATTACCTTCTTGTTGCTTCCGAGCGCGCGCCAAGGTATCTTTCCACAGCATCCTCTCTCCGGGAGTCAAGTTCGGGAGCAACGTTGCGGATGGTAATTTGTTTGGTCAGTGTTCGCAAGGGAGAGAGCTGTCGGTTTATCGATAACCCCCCCCCCCCCCCCCCGTCCCTCCACGGGGGGTCTTATGGAGGTCATGATTCACAGATAGTAAATATAAAATACATTCCGACAAGTTCAAAGCGCTAAAAGCGTGCAGATGCGCGATTCTGTGATACTCGACATGCCCGCTAGTGTACGGTAAATAAATTATTCAAGTTAACTATTGTATTTTATGGTTACCAAGCCGTTTTCCCGTACCACTTCGGGATCACCCCAAGATCGGATTCCGCATAAACTTCCTCCCCGCATCACCAAGCACGCTTCATACTAATAATTCCTAATCGCAAACTATTTCTTTTTTTTCTCACCCTAATCCTGTTGGGCGCAAATGCTCGGGCAAGTGTGAGCTTAGCTCCGGATCAACTTTAGTATCTACACCCGAGCGTCGTTCAACCCAAAATCCCATAAGAAGTCACAGCGGAGATAGAGCACCATCTGTTGCAGGCACCCATGTGTGGAGACTGTTGATACATCCAACAGTGTTCTGTTCAGCCTATGTCGGTGTATCTACATCTGAAGACTTCCGGGATCCGGGCAATTATCCCCGGTCACTCGGAAGCCAGGAAATATTTTCAGTCCGATCAGGCCAGCCCGCGGAAGGGCCCAGGCCGCCTAGGTCTTGCCCAAAGTCCGGCCGGTTTCGAACACGTCGTTATAGTAGGACGGTTCACGTCCACGGCTTTCTTAATGCCCTCTGGTACACGAGAGCGGATGGTTTTTACGGTCCATCACGATCTCCTTTGACAACCTAGGCAGCACCTCTGGTCAAGGGCCCCTGGCCAAAGTGCGGGGGGGACGGCAAGGGTGCCATCATATTATATATTTTCTTAAGGTCTCGGGATGTAGCGCCGCATAGTGGCACCTGGGGAAGTCGCTGAGAAGGTTGTCAGAAGATAGGGTATGGGTGTCAGTAGATAACCTCGATCATGCCTTCGGGCCGATTAGTCCGGAGGAGTGCAAGCGAGTGGCCTCTTACGATTTTGATGGGTGGATAAGGTGCGCTTGCTAGGATCTTAGTGGGTGAGAGGTCACGTGGAATAATTTGCTATGGAAAACAGGATAATACACTGCTAAAACAGACCAGAAACAAATAGGAAGTAAAATGTAAAAAGGCCCTATGCACTTTTTTCATACACAAGTATACTTTGCACATCGTAAACAATACATCAACACCCCGGTACAGCCTCTCACTCGCCATTCTTGTTAATTACATAGATTTCACAAATTCTCCTCGTAGATTCCCACAGTCTCCCACGCCGATAGAAACCCTTAACCCACTCCTATCACCTCGTTCCATCTCACTGCCCGCGATATAATAAACCGCCCTATCAGCCTATGGCACGTTCCGGAGGCTGAAATAATCTAAAAACATGGACATCGCGGCCTGTAACTTGTTGCGATGCCTGGTCCGGGATTTTTGCAATCTATCCTGCGCATCCCGCTTCACCCTCTCTGATTCAGTATATTTTCCTTGGAATTCTAGCACCATGGCGAGGTTTTTGAGACTGCCTAGAGCATCTGGGTGGTCAAGTCCGAGCACCCTGTAACGCACCCCCAGGACATCTCGATGAATCGCCTCTGGTTCTTCGTGCTTCTCTTGGCGCTGCGGCGGGGCAGCCAGGTTGTTGAGACTTGTGAGGGTGTGGGGGTGCTCTGACCCAAAGATATTCCGGTACCCCTCAAGTGTACGCCGGTTGAGCTTCTCAGACTCGGAGTACTTTCCTTGGGATTCCATCACGATAGCCAGGTTGTTAACACTTACTAGGGTGTCTGGGTGGTCTCGTCCTAGAACCTTGTCGCGCACCGCCAGTACATGGCGATTCAGCTCCTCTGATTCATCGTACTTTCCTTGGTATTGCAGAACGAGAGCCAGGTTGTTGAAACTTGTGAGGGTATGGGGGTGATTCGGCCCAAGAATTCTCTCGCGCCCCTTCAGTGTATAGCGATTCATCTCCTCCGATTCATCGTACTTTTCTTGGTATCCCAGAACAACAGCTAGGTTGTTACCACTTGTTAGGGTATCTGGGTGGTCTGGCCCGAGAATCACTTTACGCCGCTCCAGTGCACGCTGATTTATCATCGCCGATTCGTCGTACATTCCTTGGTATCGTAGCGCAAGGGCTAGGTTGGTGAGAGTTGCTAGGGTGTCTGGGTGATCTGGCCCGAGAATCCTCTCACGCCGCTCCAGTGCATCCCGATTCATTGTCTCTGATTCATCGTACTTTCCTTGATAATCTAGCACAATAGCCAGGTTGTCGAGACTTGATAGGGTGTCCGGGTGGTCCGATCCAAAAATCTTCGAGCGCTCCTCCAGTGCAAGCCGATTCATCTCCTCCGATTCAGCGAACTTTCCCTGGCATTCCACCACGATAGCTAGGTCATGGAGGCTTGATAGGGTGTCCGGGTGGTTCCATCCGAGGACCTTCTGGCGCCCCTCCAGTGCACGCCGATTTATCTTCTCCGATTCATCGTACTTTTCCTGGTATTTCAGCAGGACAGCCAGGTCGTGGAGACTTGATAGTGTGTCCGGGTGGTCCAGTCCAAGAACCTTCTGGCGCCCCACCAGTGCGCGCCGCGTCATCGTCTCTGCTTCGTTGTATTTCCCTCTGGATTGCAGTGCGATGGCAAGGTTGTTAACACTTGTCAGGGTGTCGGGGTGGTCTTGTCCAAGAACCCTCACACGCCTCTTCAGTGCACGCTGGTTTAGCTCCTCCGATTCATCGTATTTCCTCTTACGTTGCAGCACGGTCGCCAGGCTGTTGATGCTAGTTAGGGTATCTGGGTGCTCTGATCCAAGAATATTCTCGCGTCCCTCAAGTGCACGTCGACTTATCGTCTCTGATTCATCGTACTTTCCTTGGTACTGCAGCGCAAAGGCCAGGTTGTTGAGATTTGTTAGGGTTTCAGGGTGGTCCGGTCCCCGAACATTCTCGAGGCCCCCCAGTGCATGCCGATGCAGTGCCTCTGACTCATCATACTTTCCCTGGTATCCCCGGAGAATAGCCAGGTTATTGGCAGTTGTTAGAGTGTGAGGGTGGGCAGGCCCAAGGATCTTCTCACACCCCCGCAGTACAGACAGATTGAGCTCCGCTGATTCATCGTACTTTCCTTGGCGCTGAAGTACAAACGCTAGTTTGCCGGCACAAGTTAAGGAGTCCGGGTGATCAGGCCCAAGAACCTTCTTGGATAGCTCTAGAGCACGTCGACTCATCGTCTCTGATTCATCAAACTTTCCTTTGCATTGCAGAACAACGGCCAGGCTGCTGAGACTTGACAAGGTGTAGGGGTGGTCCGGTGGAAGCGCCTTCTCGCGCCCCCGCAGTGCACGCCGATTCTCGGTCTCTGATTCATCGTACTTTCCTTGGTATTGTAGCACTAGAGCTAGATTGTTGACACCCATTAGGGTATCTGGGTGCTCAGCTCCATGAATCTTCACTAGCCCCACCAGTGCGTTGCGAAGCATCCTCTCTGATTCATCATACTCTCCGAGATCGCTCATCACAGTCGCTAGGTGGGATAAGCACTCTAGGTAGTCAGAGCTATTTGGACCCAATAACTTCTCCAGATCCTCTAGTGCGTTCTGAAGCACCTCCTTTGCTTCATTTGCCTTTCCTTGGCGCGCAAGCACCCGCCCCAGGAGCATAAATCTGCTATGACCTTCATCCCAGCCCTGCTCGCTATTTTCCTTGCGAAGTGTGATGCATTGATGGGCTTGTTCTTCTGCTTTGCCGTAGGAGCCCCAATGTAGAAAACACTCTCCCATGCGGAAATGAAGGTCTTCAACAATAACTTCCGTTCTACCTTTGGTTACGGCAAGTGCGTGTGGAAGGTACTCTTCGCAAAGATTCCGGACCTCGTGATCATATTTAGGGAACACTCGGGAGATAACTTGTAATGCAGCCATACTCCATTTATCCAACTCTTCTGATAAATAGGCCTGTACAGATAGTTGAATCAAGCGATGAAGCTCGTAGACTTTCTTGCCTTCAGGTTCGACGGCGGTAACCAACGAGAATCCCAATAGCTCCCCAATAGCCAGACGAAATTTGATCGAGTCATCCATCCCCTCAACACCACAGTCTCGCAGGAGCTGCTCGGGGATGTTTTGACGGTCGAAAAACGAAATTAGCCGTAGGAGATGCCACGCTCTGGGCATCAGTTTCGCAATCCGGTCAAAGGTGATGAAGTATGTGCCCAAAACACCTTTTGTCATCTCGGCCTGTTGCCGGACGTCGCTAAACTTATATGAAAGTAGGTGCTTCTTTCGCTCATCGTTCTCCTGGAAAATATTCTGGTATGGTGTAATGCATCTAAAACGTGTACCACTGGTGTTGCAAAATGTGACGCCTTATGTAATCAGGGTAAGGGGTGTAAATTGCCGTAATCTGCTTGTGGCAGATGTAAAGTTTATAAATTGCCTATTATGCCAGTGCAAACTCAACA